GTAGAGACGGGGTTTCACCATGTTGACCAGGATGGTCTCGATTTCTTGACCTCGTGATCCACCCGCCTCGGCCTCCCAAAGTGCTGGGATTACAGGCTTGAGCCACCGCGCCCAGCCCACATACATAACTTTTAAGAACACACAAACTGTTTAAGGCGAGGCACACTTTTAAAACAAAATTTTTTGTGGCCATAGATTACTGCTATTACAGTAAGCCTAGATATGAGTAAATTCTGGTATGACAAACATAACATTAACATATAACCCTCACTGCCCGAAAAAATCTGATTGTATCTTACACATTATTAATGAATAAACTTTCTCTGCTAATATTAAGTTGCCGTTCTTAGCTGCAATCTGGATCTGTCGGTCCTAAGTACATCTCTGATGGCCTACCTTTCAAAGCGCTGCTTCATTTGTTTACATGCATAGTAGCTTCCATCCCTCAGGCTTTGCATCTTCATAACTTCAGAAAACGTTCCCTCTCCTATTTTGCCAATTGCTTTATAGTCTAAAAACAAAAGTGATTACAAAAATAAAATGTTATTTATGCATATATTTGCATTAACTTCCAGACGGCAAAGTTTTTATCTGTAAGAGAGTTTACCGGCAATACACTGAGAATTGTTCTATTTTTGTAAGGTTCAGTGGTCCTCTCAGCTTTAGGGGAAGCTGGAACAAAGCAGCATTTCCTCCCAGTCTGTGCCCTCCCTCGTATAGCAGGAACCACCTCACTTGGATCCTGGCCGGTGAGGAGAGGCTCAGCTACCCGATACCCTACAAGGTTCAGAAAGCGGAGGAGCAGCAGAGGTGGGATTCTTCCCCAGGGGTGGGCACGGGTGTGGGCTTAGTCTCCAGGCTGTTGTCACATTGTCCCAGCAGCCTAGTCCAAGGACTCTCCTGAAATTCACCTTCCCTGGTCCCACAGAGGGCCCAGCTGATATGCAAGTTTCCTACAATTCTTGTACTTCCTAATTTTCTGAAAGCTAACAGCAACTTTCTCTGGCTTTGCGGCCATCACACTACCCCCAGCCCTGACAATGGTTCTGTGAGCCTCTAGTTCACTATGTTAAATGCCTTCCTGTTTGAAATACCTAGGACAGTTTCCGTTGTCCTGACCAAACCCTGACTGACAACAAATGAGCACCCTGATGTGGGGTAGTGCTGTGAACAAAAACCTAAAATATGTGAGTCTGGCTTATTGGTCAGATGGCAAAATGCCACAGCCTGGCATATTATGACGAAATATCGTCTGCTTGAAAGAATGCCTGCATTCACTGCTGCCTTTCAGGAACCGAATATCCACTGAGCCTGCTGGCCCAGGGAAAGTGGTGGGAAGAGTCAGAATGATGGAGTATACTGAATCTACTGACTGCCTTAGCAAGCTATTTCAAGACAAAGATAAGTACAGGCAAGAATGGCTACACTACTTTTCAAGCAGGAATGGAAGGAGTAAGTAAACTCTAGAGAGTAAAAGTCTCACCAGTTGTAAAAGTTTCTACAGCCCAAATAATTGGAAAGTAAGACTGCAAAAGCCTTGGCAGAGAACAGTCCATGAGCCTTCTCCGTTACACACATGGCTCATCCTTGTAGCAGAGATCAGAGAAAGGCAGTTACAACCTCCAGGCCTTTGTTTCAGAAGGAAGCTCCTATAAACAAAGATGGCATTCACAGTGTCAAAAGTAAGAATGCCACAAACTTAAATATCCAGTATCATGGAAATGCTCTAATAAGCTATGAAATAATGGCCGGGCGGGGTGGCTCACACCTATAATCCAAGCACTTTGGAGGCCAAGGCGGGCGGATCACCTGAGGTCGGGAGTTCAAGACCAGCCTGACCAACACGGTGAAACCCCGTCTTTAAAACAAAAAAACAACAGCCGGGCGCGGTGGCTCAAGCCTGTAATCCCAGCACTTTGGGAAGCCGAGGCGGGTGGATCACAAGGTAAAGAGATCGAGACCATCCTGGTCAACATGGTGAAACCCCGTCTCTACTAAAACTACAAAAAATTAGCTGGGCATGGTGGCGCGTGCCTGTAGTCCCAGCTACTCAGGAGGCTGAGGCAGG